TGCACAATTTTTTTACCTTGCAGTACTTCTTCATTGTTATTTTCCTTCGTAATGTAATACGTTCCAAAATTTTATTATATTCAAACAGAAAATTAATTAGTTAGGTTACGTAAGAGCAAGATTATATTAAAGTAAGTATTTAGGGTAAAAATACGTCCTGGTAGTTGCACGTGACCGTAAAATGACATCATCATCTTCATATAAGAATAGTGAGTTGGGACAAGTAATTTGTTTGTATAACCATGGTATTCAATACTCTGGAAAGGGTTTTGAAAAGCACAACAACAAAAGATAACAAGTTATTGACTAAACTTGTCATTCTTTCCAAATGAAGATGACGTAATTTTACGGTTAGGTGTAACTACCATGACATGTCGCTCTTATGTAACCAAAATGGTTCAATTTACGTTTGAATATCTTGGTAAAAGTTTGAAACGTATTAAATTACGACAATAAAGATATTTTCGACGTTTCAGACTTGTTCTTCACTTACAGCTTTAAGACCGTGGGTGAAAAGCCTCACTATTTACCCTAGGCGTACCAAAGGAAGATAGTCCCGCAATGTAGTTAGTAAGAAACCAGTAGGTTGGTTAACCTTGAAGTAGACACCTGTGGCCCATTTAGTACTGCCCACGTCCGATAAGTGAGACTTGAAATGGCTCAGGGTCGTCGGAGAAAGTGTATATAATGGCTGGTAAGCCTAACAGTCAGTTGGAAGCAAATATTATCGTTTTACGTTGATCGCTTACTAACACTGATGAAGACAGTCAACATCGGGTTCAGTTATTGAGAAACAAATGGGAAGATTTATTTAATAAATTACTCCCAAATATGTAGCAAAATGTATAAGTGTTTTACAACCGTGTGTATTCCTCAAGATAATGATTTTATGAATTGGTACTAGCATGAATGATAATTTAATCATATATAAATATCTACAATTTTTACTAATTATGCAGTAGAAACATTGATATTCAATTGAACACACATGCGAAGTTTGAGATTAAAATATATGAATTCTATTACTGTTTGGAAGTTCTCATAACAAAATAACCCGTACTTGAATAACTGTATGAAATAGTGAAAATTAACGTTACTGACCTATTATAGTAAGTTCAAGTGTGCATTTATATGTATACCAATTATGTTGCTTTGCACATGTCATCGCTTTTTCAAGGACTCTGGAACTGCTTTTCAACGTGTAATGACCCTTAACAATAACATTCCGTTAATGTATGGCTTATCAAATGATTTGTGGGAACAAGACCCACCCCAGCTGAAAGGTACAGTTTCGTACTAATATCTGCTGCCACGTAAGCTCGGCTTGGTCGAAAGAGCGAATGAGGCTGTCCAGAAACGAGAGTATAAACGCGGGTAAATAAACATCTAAACCAAACAGATTACTCATCTAAAGTTATATATATATTTGTGTGTGTGTGTGACATTCCTTACTGTAGATATAAGCGGTTGAGAAAGATGACATTACTGCTAATAATAATAATAATTACAAAAAAACTCTTAACCGGTATGTATATGAGATTTCTTACCTAAAGTGACCAACTTTTTACATTAGTCTAACATGACTGTCAGGTTAACAAACACTGAATATTGAATGTAGCTAGGCACCTACACAGCCTAAATAATTACATAAAGGTGGGCGTATAAATAAACATTACACGAGAGACACTCCTATTTCTACTATATCTGTTTCTGCATTTCGAGTGAAGTGTTTTGTACTTGAAATCACGTGTAAATATAAACTTTCTGTTGTTGTTGTTTAAGTGAGAACATGAAAATGGTTATAATCGTGAGAGGTAAGATACGCTTGTCATTTGGAACTAGACGTTTTAGGTTGTAACCATTACTATTCAGTTTTAGTATACACAGAATCTGAAACTCTAATCCAAGATTTATGGCGCTAATGTTTACACTTGGATATGTCTACTTTTACAAAGAGAGACAAAACTTTTTGCAGAGAAGAATAAACCCAGCGGTACAAATCCTAAACACTACACTCTACAGCCAATCAGCATCGAAAATGACGGTAATTTGTCTTTCCTATTTTATGTTATTGAAATTAATAATAGCCGAAAGTATTTATATATTATTACATAATGCTCTTAACAAATATATGATTTCACCATTTATTTTCTAATTTAATCTTGTCTAGTAACATTAAATGTTATTACGAAATGTTGGACAAGCTGATGATTAAATCAGGGGAAAAAATATTTCCTGTTTGATTATCTGAACACTGCACGTTTCTAAAGAGTATTAAAAATCAATTTTAAAGTGTAAATAGAAATACGTCCTAAAATAAAATGTTTTTGTTTAAAAAAAATTCGCCAAACCTGATTGGCACTTGGATATCGGTAAAACACACATACACACTCCAGACTCCTCTGACCAGCCCTAATATTATCTTTCTTAGAAACCTGGGGATCAGAAACTGATCCACTGTATCCGTTTAATGTACCAGACTTTTAACAATCAATGTGAATGAGTAACATTTAATACCTGCACCCGAGATATTTAATGTTTGCTATAAAAAGACAAGCTTCACCACAAAATGGATCTCCATTTAGATCTAAGTGAGTCAAAAGTGTCTGTAATTAAAACCATGAAACTGTCTTTAATTTTTCCTAGCCAATCTTAAAACAATTTAACTAATTTAATTGAACATAAAGGACCGCATTCTTTTTCAATGCCATTTCATTAGCCATCAAGTTTGTCAATGTCTGAAAATTATTATAATGTAGTTGCGAGTAAAACCTGTTATGTGCTTCGCTCCTTTCTAGTGTGCTTTTATATGCGCGTATAATCTAATCATGCGACCTTGCAAAGATTAAAGCACATTATTTTTAATTTTTTTGGAATATACTTATGAAATCGTGACTGGTATTTTTCATGAGAATTGATTGATTATTAAACTATTTTGCTTGACTTTTTTATATCCAATTTATGACCCATAGTGATTATGATTTGGACTTTAGAGTTTTCTGAATACTTCAATCTTTTTACATTAATCATTATACATGTTTTCAAGTACCTGACCTTGTTCAAGTAACAGAAATAAAGTTTTTTTTATGTCATTAAAGAACTTGACATGTTGAGACAGTTCGACTAGCTAGCTAGCTTCTTTTGTTTAAGCAAACGCATTTTTATCCTTGTCACGTGATCGTTTACGTCTCACCTGCCACTAACACATCGACCATAGACAGACAAGACAGCACAGCAACTCACTTGCGTGCAATTTCTTTGACATATGAGCTTTCAATTGACATCCTTTAACTTGGATTATTATTCCCTGTTACCATAGGGAGTCCACACTTGTACTTGTCTCCAGTTTTTAGCGAAGGTTGAAAAGATCCGGTGTCATTTATTTCGGTGTCAGTATTTTCGTTAACAAAAGAAGAAAAAAAAAAGGCAAATCTGAAGGAGGTTTCGAATTTCTGATATTATAAAACATTATTAATATAATCTACAATTGAAGCTACGGACTTCTAAAGTTAAGTCATAAATACTATAATATGTTCTAGGTCACTTGATTTTGCTCTTATTTTTTAGTTTTCAGTTTGTTATTTATTCTATACATTTGCTTGTACACTATCGTGGCGCCACCAGTGGCTCAACATACTTTTTTGAGAGTTCTCTAAATCTGTAAACTTGTTTGTTAAGTATTTCTTGGCTTTACAAGATTACTTTAATATTGATTTGGATCTACATTTTTATGCCTACAGAATTTTAAAGCAGTATGTGGGGGGGGGGGGACAGAAACACTGCAACATTGCACTCTTTCATAACTCGAAAATAACATATCTTTATTTAAAAATAAAGATTCATCACTTATTATTGAGTTATGCCGGTTTGAGAAATTCGCCCATTATCTACATCACTCACTAGACGAGGCAACTCGACTGTGCTGCTTGTAGTGGTGAGCTGTATGTAAGGTGTTCTTAGTTGTCTTTTATTCACTACATGACATTCAATGAATATGTAGTATTGATGGAATTGTTGTATTCTTCTGAAGTACTTAGCAGATAAGCTGTTAGTTGTGCTAAAAATAAGTAAGAAAACTAATCTATTATTCAATTCAGTTTGAACGATCTCTAGTACTTCAGATAAGAAGAGGGGGTGAGTGCATGTACCATTAGTACTGTAACTAGCGATTTGTATTATTTTATGTATAGCTATAAAATATTTACCACCTTTTATTTTTATTTTTTTGGTTAAAAAAAAAAGGTATATCTGACTTACAGTGATGGAACAATAACTATTTATTATTTTCGTTTTTCTTTTCTATTCCAGATGCTCAGCTTGGTTGTGTGGAGTTACGATCCAAGCGATATTTTTCCGACGGATATTGCACTTCTATTAGGCCCATCACAGAGGTAGTGTGCTCCGGCATCTGTCTGCCTGTCCGTTATCTTACTTGGTATCATTTATTCTTGAAGCAGGTTCCTCGAAAGAAAGACATAGAATGGCGTTGTATTGAGGATGGAGTCCGTCGGAAGAGAGTCCGGTTGGTTTGCCGAAATGGCGAGCGCCGGAAATACAAAATCAAGGTCGTCACATCCTGTAAATGTGTAAGAAGAAAACGTGGAAGGAACAAGAAGTCCTTGAAAAACGAAAAACAGTGAAGTCAAGTAGTATTTTTATGCAACAGATGGGAAAATAGTGGTAACTTAAATCTTGTTGTCTCATCAGTATATGTTTTGTGTAATGTGCCAATTGTGTACTTGTGTAATTTTGCGAGAATAAAATTACATGGAAATTAGTTACCAACTAACTTCAGAAGTGGGACTGCTGTCATATGGATCTATTTAAGTGGAGAAACAATTAAAGAATGAAAGACTGGAAGAAATTTAAACTATGGAGAGAAGAAAAGAGGCAATTCTGGATGATGGATGGAACGAGACTAAATATATGGTAATTGAGGGATGTTATGAAGAGTTGAAAAAGAAGTGTTAAGAAACAAACATAACTAAATAAGCATTTCAGATAGTTTTGCAAAAGAAAACTGACGCCAGAATTGAAGTTATTATTCTATCTTGTCACCAAGATCTTGCTGAGGCTACAACAACTTCCCAGTTGATTATATGTACATCTTAAACTGTGTACAAATTACAAATTGAAAACAGTTCGTAATGTAACAAACATCTTGATGGTTTTATGTTAGCTGTGTAAGTGGTTGTTTTTTTGTTGTTGTTTTGTTTTATATTCACATGCTTGTATTTCTGTATTACTTAAGTTCAAAATTGTGCTATTCCCAGAAAAAGTTCCTTTTAAGTGGTTTTACCGTGGAAGAAAATGAGCTTTCGCCAAAATTACTCCCGGAGACTCTGGGATGAAAGATATACAGATAGCACTTGCTAAACATTGTGCTTCTAGAAAATATTCATTACAAGTATTTATTAAAGTGAGAAATCAAAATTAGTGTTTTAAAGAGTGCGATAATTATCTTGTAAAACATTTTTGTTTTATAACTGGGAATACCAGTGGAAAAGGAATTTTGTTACAATTTGTAATTAAACGGTCTTGTCATTAATTTGTACAGAAAATTAAACTTTCTGTGAATTTCGGAGGCTAATGGGGGGGGGGGTGATGTAATATATCAATGCACATTTAAAAAAGAAAAGTCTAAAAAATATCTTTCACCATTTTTAAACTAAATTACCAGTTTACATGCTGAATCGACACCTGTTGAGGCGGCATTTTGTTTCGTTCATTGAACCAATCATGCAGTTTCGAAACCAATTTACCCCATTTCCCGCACACTTATTGCCATTTTAGCATTGTGTTTCTTAGTGAATTTAAATCAAGAAACTTGTATAATATAAAGAATTTCCGGCTGTTAGTGTGATTTACTTATATTTGTTTATCGCTACGAGAAACATAACACACGAAAGAAGAAAAAAAAAGGAAAATAAGAGCAAAATCTTGAAGACACGAGCGTCACAATATCCATTGTGTGCAGGTTTATATTGTCAATAATAATGATGTGGTTGGTTTTTAACTTAAAGAATTAAAACTGTATATTTATCACAGAAAAAATATAAGCCTAAAAATTCTTTCAGAAACAATGGAGCTTACGCCTAACGTTTTGCATTAATGACAGCTTGTATTTGGTGGTGAAAGGTGATTTGATATTGCCTGTTGTGGTAATAGGAATGAGTCCATAGCTAGCTATTTTTATCTGCAGATTCATTAGGAATTTTTCTCCAATTACTCCTAAAGTACACTTGGTGGACAAGATCGTTTAGTATTGATTAATTACTCTGATACAAAATTCATGATTGAAATGTTACAACAAATAAATCTACCCTAGTGGCGCAGCGGTAAGTCTGAAGGCTTATGAAGCTAAAAATAGGGTTTCTGTACCTGTGGTGGGCACAATACAGATAATCCATTGTGTAGCTTTGCGCTTAACAACAAATAAACAAATCTAGTCTGTTGATACCGAGTTCTCGAACACTGACATCTCCACTTAAAGTTTGTCAGACATAGTCTTAACCTTATATAAAATTGGTTTAAAACAACTTCTATAAATAAGTTGAAACATTGTGATCAATAAGGTATGACTTAAAATTGTGTTGAAATACGCACCCAATTAGTTCAAGAAATGCTGTGGGCAAGATCTCGTGAAATAACACTGACGTTACGATTTGGGTTTCTCCTGTGTCAGGGTACGAGTTTTAATTATGCACATAACTACCAAACATTTTGTAGATTACCTTGTGAGCTATCTTTAGAATGTTTTTGACCTATTACATATAACGAATGATTTCCATAGCAATCCCAGTCTATCTATACAAATTGAATAAAATCGTACAGATTGTTATTTACACACACACACACACACTGAATAAAACAACACCCCTGTCTGCCCTGTTGGTCGGAAATAATATATCATTAAACTAGAAACAAAATTTGACAATAAAAGCATTTTTTGTATTAATATATTTTTCCTCTTTGTTTTAATTAACCTTTGAAGCTAATCATGTACAATAACGAAGATATCAGTATGGTTTCATAAAAGTTATTAATTGACTTGGTTTCAGTCATCCATTTTGATTTTGCTAGCTTCGAGAGAAGGAACTTTTTAAGCAATAATAATATTTAATTACTTAGTACAATGCCTTTGACTGAATTAGAAATAATTATGATTATGCTTAAGAGACCTCTAAAGTACACTAGAGTTACTAGACAATTATTAATTTTGAACTAAAATTATCACTATACAACCTACAAATAAATAAGTAGTATAATTTAAATTGTCGTGGTTATATTATTGATTTTACATTAAATATATCTTAATGTTTTCACTTTCAGAAAGAAATCAGTTGTTCATTCATGCGAGAGGAAATTTCAAACTCCTAGAAAAAGTCATTTACAGTTATAAAAGTCTCGGACTTGTTTAAGAGTCCTTCCCCAAACGAATTTTCAAGTGGATCACTAAATTAATAAAGCATTTTCATTACTTAACATGCAGGTGGAGAGTTCTATATCAGTGTTTTCATGTTAAGCAAATGAGGGAATATTTTGTGAAAACTGAGTAGCAATCAGTAGAATAAATAATGAATCATTTGCTTGATAGTTAGTTAAACTATTAAGAAGTATGAATATTTTCTATATTTTACAATGTCTGCTTGCTTAATTAAATATTTTCTGTGTATCTGTGCATACCGCATGATTTGACAATAAAGAATAGATAAGACAGTCAGATTTCTGTGTAATTCCGGTATATTTTTATTTTGCTATTGTTGTACATTTTGACAAACCCCCCTACTATTATGTGTTAAGTTATGACTAACTCTTCGTAATTTTTTTATACGTCTTTCCTGGGTTTTACGTTATTTATATACGGCTCTTGTGACAACATTTCGCATGGTCAATTAAGGAAAAATAATGACAAACAGAAGTAGTTTTTTCATAATTAACCTTGAGACGCAGCTAGGCTATACTTCTGAAGGGAAGTTTAAGATTTATTCTCATACTAATAGTTTGCACAACGAGACTTCTTTTGTACATTCGACCCTAAAGGATGAGACTGTAAGAATAAATAACAGGATTATAATTAATACTTATTGTTTGTAGCTGAGGACAATATACGTATTTCATGCCAACGACATTTTTTTTTTTTTAGTCTGTAAATTATGTAGTTAAGTATATGTTACATAACTTACTTTGACTCTACCCTTTCTTTCAAGTTCAAGAATTGGGGGTAAAAAATCAGAAGCGCCATCTTCTGTTTATTACTTAATACCAAGAAAGCATAAATCAAGGAAACTTTATACATGTCTCGCATCTTTCTGCAGCACCATATTTTTGATGTATAGCTTTATATAAAAGATCAAGCCATTAATATAGCTGGAAATAATTGCCAAATAGAATTACTCCATGAAAAGTATACTCTTGTGTATACGTTTTTAAATCATGTTTCAAAGAATTGTCAGATAAAACGAATGGTTTAATGATGATGATTAAATCCAAAACAGAAAAATCTAAATTAGTCAACTATTCAAATATACAAACTTACCATAAGTGAACAAAGCTACATAAGGACTGAAATTACTAACTATTGCATCACCAAATTCTATGAAATAATAAACTTTAAAGATAAATAATACATATATTCTGGATTTTTTTTTAATCGTCAGTTTAGAGAAAATCGTTGTTTAGGAGCTTTATACTGAACATTTATTGATTGATAGTCGTGAATATTTTTATCTAACAATTTTCCACGCTTCAGCTCCTTAATGCTGCTTATAGAAAACCACGTGGCACCGACAGTTACAATATGCCCACGTAGTTACGAATTTCTGCCAACATTTCTTAATGTATAATGATGAAGTCAAAGTTCCGTCGCTATGGCAATATGTGTTTTTGTGGACTGGTCTCTTCTACCCCCGCTGGTGTTTTGCATATTCGTACAAAAGTATTATTCATGTTTGGTAATGAATTATATATATATTGTTTATGCGTATATAGACATGAAACATTTTAAACAATTAGCAACTGAGATATTTTGAGCACTTGACACACAACTGTTACTTAGTAGACAACGTGAACGTTTTTTAATAAATGACGTTGGGACATGGGCGCCCGCAGGAAGGAGCAAGGGGGTCACTTGACCCCCCCCTGAATTTTTCAAAAAGAAAAAATATTACTAGATATGTAAAATTATTATTCTACGTTATTGAAAAATCATAAGGTATTTGTATTTCGATTTCATACATTTTTTCAAACTTGAGTTACTTGACCCCCTCCCCCCCTTAATTTTTTCTTGGTTGGTACAGATTTGTAAACACAAGATGCCGTGGGAGGTTTTAAATAACGGATAGACTCTGGTGATTTTTTTTTAAACACAAAAATCCGTAAGAGATTTTGTACGTAGAACGTTCTTATTACAGTACCTTCTCTGTGTTCTTGGTAAAGATTTGATCATAATAATCTATATCGTTTCCAAGTGTTAAATATTTTTTATAGGATGAACTATTATTTTCCTTACTCTAGGGATGTTTTTATACATTTGTGTCGGATTACGTAGAAATAATCATTGTAATAAATATCTGATAATTCTCACTTTTAATTAAACTTTTCCAGTAATTCAAGTGAGGCGAACATACACTTATTTTAAACTGGAAAATGTACTGAAACAAATGTTTTCGTAACTTTGAATCTCGTTTTCAGTCCTAAAATAATGATGTTTATCGAAAATAAATTACTGCAATTGATTTTTTTTTCTAAAATATTCACGTAACGATATTGGTTAAAACTTGTACGAGTTTTTATTTCTTTCTGCAAGGAATATAGTAACAAACAACTGACATCCCCCGGTGGGACAGTGGTAAGTCTTCGGATTTACAACGCTAAAATCAGGAGTTCTATTCCCCTCGGTGGACACAGCAGATAGCCCAATGTGGCTTTATTATAAGGAAACACAAAACAACTGACATTCAGTCGCATACGTTTTACAGTATGAATGAAATGAGACACATAAATGCAACGTAGTTAGGAATAGTGTAAATATGTAAACAAATCGCATTTGAAGTTTCTCAGGCAATTGGATTATTTCGACGGTAAACATGATAAGCAAACCAAGTAGAAAATAAATTGCAAACTGTAGTTCTATAAATGATACCGATATCTGGGAATTTATTAAACGTATAACAATTCAGAACTCGTGATATTAAAAAGAAAATTCTATTCATTTGATTGTCATAAAATGTTTGTACATTGGCCACCATCCATCGTTACTGCCTTGTACGATTTAAAAGGTTGATTTGAGGCTAATAAAGTTAGTAGTGGCGCTCATAACTAGGATTCTTGCAGGCTGAAAATAAGTAATGGCGCCTCATAATTAAAATTCCTGAGGGCTGAAAATAAGTAATGGCGCCTCATAATTAAAATTCCTGCGGGCTAGGAAGCTGTTCCTGATATGGATTTATAATTATACATGTGTATAGCACGTGCAATTTCTGTCTGGAAATCAAAGCTTATAGTTTTAATGATTGAACAAAAAATACCGCCTATCATCCAAACGGTGTAAAGTTTCTTGACACAGGATCGTTCTAACTTAATATTTAGGGACTGTCTGTTAAATTCACAAATTAACCAAGTTTATTTTTCCATGTACAGGGTGGTTCAAAACTATCCTTCCTATTTAAAGATTTAATAATTAAGGAAATACAACCATGCAGTTTTCAACATATTGTAGCCCAATTCAAACAGTGTTTATTGACATGAAAGAGGAATCCTAGGTGTGCACCATTAGTGGCTCTCAGCACGTCTAACCTATATTCGATTTCAGTCCACGTTCGCTGCAACATGGCCACAGTTACAGTGGTGATGACGTCCAATATCATGGTCTTAGCTCCGTGATATTTGCTATAGGTGTGCGATACACGATATCCTTAACATAACCCTATACTTCTTTCCTGTACGGGCGTCTGTAATTACGCTGCACCACAGTCACTGGCTTGGTCTCTGCAAGCCAAACGACACACTGAGACTTTTCTTGCACGGTTGCCATTTTAAGGAGTAACATTACTCACTAGAGTGAAAATAAAAACATGACGATAAAACTGTTTGAGTTGGGCTACAAGATTTTGAAAACTGGATGGTAGTATTTCCTTGGTTATTTAATTATTAAGTTTTAAAATAGGAAAGATGATTTTGGACCACATTGTATCATTTTCAAAGTTTTTTTCAAACATAGAAAAAGTTGGTTAGATATTCAGTGTTGAATACAAATTAGGAAAGAACTGTGTGAGATTATTATGTTTTATAAATTTCATTTACATGTTTTAAATGAATTTGAATAAAAGTACCTAATATTAGTAACAATGTGAGAAGCATTACATATACACGTATGTTTGTTTATCAAGTTCAATAAGGTTGGATAACGTATTCATTTTCATGCGATTTATATACATATATTTGTAGGTCAACAAACCGTTTATTTTAAAACCCACTATTACTGAAAGACCTCTCATTTTCTCCTTTGATATTTGTACAGTCGTGCAGGAGGGTGTATAATTACACGTGTTTTAAAAGTCGACTTGCTCCACACAACACCAGCAATTTCATCCCTTCACTTGCGTCACACCGTTAAATAATGATATATGTTTATATAAAGACACTGGTGCTAATATTAGTTTTATCTGACCAGAAAAAGACCACACCTTAACAAATTAAGCTATTGATAATGTGACAAAAGCTACAAGATCTAAGGTCACTATAAAAATCAAGCTTTATCCAACTGGCCTGTTATAATCAGTGTGCTGATTATAGGGGGTTTGGTTCATGCAGGTGTGACTGTGATAACTAGTTTGAGCTATGATTTCTAGAATAAACATGCCAGGTTTTCTGTTAAGATTAATTGTTACCGTCTCAAGTTGAACACTTAGTTAAACTGAACTTCCGTTACGAAAGAATAGAATAAAATATTCACGTGATCTACACAGTGTTAAAATTACTAGCTACAAACCGGCCAATCTTGAACGCTTAAACTGAGATCATTCTCACTAACCAACCATACGGGCACACAGTGGAAGGAAAATATGTGAGATGTGTTATGTCATCGTCAATCGACTTCAAAGCACATGCTCAAAATGAATAGAATTTTGGTGTCTAAAATTTTTTCCTAACTAGAAAAAATCCAGATAGCATAAATTTGAAATTATCACAATTATAAGCAAATAAAATCACAAATAACAAGATAAGTACACTTTTATCTAACCATAAGAGCAATAAGATTTATTTAATATTTGACAGGAATTCTGTTTTTTTTATTTTTTTAATTATGGGATTGTGATGTTGAATCTATGTGACAAGGTTTATTTATTAACTACATGTAGCTTAACTGGAAATAAAGCACGTAAAGACTGCATATTATAAACCTACTTATTTTGACGTGAATGAGTTGTAAATAAATGCTTTAAGAATCTAAAATGGATTTTTTGCAAAGCTTTTGTCGCTTTTTAAATGGAGGAAAGTAAATTTACAGCTAATCTCTGTATTCGAAAAGAAGCCAAACAACAATCTCAATCCCGTGAGTTTGACACAATGGTTTTAATTATTCTCGATTTCATTAAGTTTTCCAATGGAGTCTCTGTTAACCTTTGCAAACAACACATCAATTGTCCCAGTAATTATAGACCCATTAGTCTTGCATTAGTTGTTGTAAATATTTTGGAAAGTCTGTTAAAAGATGCTTTG